CCTTAAACCCTAAACCCTAAACCCTAAATTTTTAATCTTAGAGCTTAAAGCGTAAACCCTAAACCCTCTATACACGGAGCTGTAAACCCTTATTTTAAACACTAATAAACCCTAATCATAAACCTTGATATAAACCCTAAACCCTAAACCCTAAACCCTTATAAACCCTAAATAAATAAACAGAAATATAAACCCTAAAAGTTCCTAATAAACCCTGATACACCCAAACAAACCCTGAAAAACGCTAAAAAACATAAACCCTCGTAAACCCTCATAAACCCTAAACCCTAGCAAACCCTTCAAAACCATTCTAAACCCTAATAAACCCTAAACCCTAAACCCTAAACCCTTAAAAACCCATAAACTATAAAGCAATATATAAATCCCCTTCACGCCCTTCCCCTACTCGTCTTCTGCTGCAGCAGCTGCTGCAGCTGCTGCTTGTATCCCTCATCTTTTTCCTGCTGCTGCTGCTGCTGCTGCTGCTGCTGCTGCTGCTGCTGTTGCTGCAGGTTCTCCCCCCACTCAGGTCTTACACCGAGATTTGAAGCCGTCAAATGTCTTTATATGTAGCGACCCCTCTGCACCCTCTTCTTCTTTTTTTTCTTCTCCTTCTCCTGCTGCTGCTGCTGCTGCTGCTGCTGCTGCATCCCCCGCATCCCCAGCAGCAGCAGCAGCAGCAGCAGGAGCAGCAGCAGATGAGGGTGGTTTATTAGTGAAGATAGGAGACTTTGGTTTATCTCGTTGTTTATATGGTGAGAGTTATGCATCTTCATGTGTCGGTACACCTCATTACTGGAGCCCAGAAATGTTGAGAGAAGGATATAAATATTATAATTATAAAACAGATATATGGTCCCTTGGTTGTCTCCTTTTTGAGCTAGCTACAGGCAAAACTCCTTTTGCTGATGCTAAACAAATGCAACAACTCAGAGCACATGTTCTTAGGGGACCCAAATTACCCATACCAGGGTAAGACGCTGTCTTTGCTTTTTTTTTTTGTCTTTGTCTTTTTTTTTTTTCGTCTTTGTCTTTTTTTTTTTT